AAACATGTGTTGCAAGGATCAGGATATTGTAAGAGTCCAATAATTATAAATATCTATGCAAAAATAGCATGCTTTCACTGTCATCAACATTGTCATAGAATATATATTAGACCACCAGAAAGATTTCGGAAATGAAAATAATGACAGAGCTTGAATTTAATCGTAAGAAAAGAGTAAAAACTAGTTGATGCCTGCCTCTGGACCTTCCAACTGGACAGCTCCGCAATAGCTCATATCATGCACAAGCACTCCACATTTTAATTTCTTTAAGAGAGCCCTTGAGCCTCTTCCTCTACATAACAAAACAATAAATTATTTTTGAGTACAATGTGAATTGATGGTCTCTTCTTCATTTGAAGAAGAATCTAAAATTTGATCCCAACTTGATTAAACTTGTGAATCACTAAAACAGATTAGACAGTATATACAAGTACTTGCATTGTAACATTCTGTGAATGTGAAGTATGGGCTTAAAAAATAATACAGATATCATATCAATCACATAAAAGAAGCTATTCCTTTATTGATAATCTACATAAAAGCAGCAATTCATTACCTGCCATGCAGACCAAGGGGAATGTGGAATCCCCAGAGTTTTATCATCTTGAACCGCTTCGCATGCCATACATGCGTTCTCAGTCTCTTCATCCCATCCCCTGAAGTACAAAACCCACTCTCAGGGTTCTTGCTGAGTTCTACCCTCCTTCGGAGTCGACGAGAAACCTTCTTCTCATCTTTCTTGGAAGAATCACTTTTATTCGTATCTTTTATTCCAACTCTCTGCTTCTTTCTAAACCTATTTCTCCCAACACGATCGTCATGCCCAGTAGTTCTCCGACGCTTGTTCCTTTGACAGCGGAAATCATTATTCAAACGATTTGCAACTACAGAGTGAAGACTCTCGAGCTCAGAAGCTCTAGACTCAGCGAATTTCAGCACAGCAAGTTTGTGTGGCGGAGCAACTGATGCTTGAGGTTTACTCCCATCAGTAACCATATTTTGAACACTAACCAAATCAAGTTTTCAACAATCTGATACCAATCAGCTACGATGTGGTTGCTCTTATTCTGAAGGCATAAAAGGTATTGGGTCTTAAACAATATTAGAAATGAGTTTGGAGCAACTGGAAATGGAATTACATATACACATGTATAACGATGTTCCAATGTATAGATTTCAACAAAGTGATCTAAATAGTACACCAAATTACTTTCAGTAAGAACAGGTTAGCACCTATTTTTTTCTGCACAACAAAGTAATTGAAGGCATAGAAATCCATAGAAAAGTACAGATAGATAGGTACAACTAATTAAGAACATACAAATAAGCATTAATGGGATTAAGGGCAGAGGTGAGTGACAGTCAAATTTGGTAGTCTCCTTGTTGTGGAGACAATTTGATATTCACATACCGGAAAATATGTCGCCTCAATAAATTTGAATAATTTATAAAATAGTTACTTTTGCTGCAAGTAACTCTTAACTTACGGCCAAACTAAGTACTTATTTATTTATATTGAATAAATAATATATTATGTAAGCCACGGAATGAAAAAATGCTGACGAGAAT